GTTTCTATCATTTCAGACATTTCAGGTGTGCAACTTCCAATACCTTCTAGGTTGATGTCTCCTGAACTTTCTCAGGCTGGGCTGGAGGTCTGAGATTGCATTTTGGTCCTTTGTCTTGACATTTTCTATTCAAAAGAAAATTTTTATGTGGATTTCTGTGATGATACTTGTGAGTTTAATAGTAGGTATCTATATCATTGCTGTCAAGAGCTCTCTAGGAAAAGTCTGTACTTGAGGGGTATCGTCTGTGTGTTGCAGATTCTTGGCTTATGTCCGCCCTGAGATCCTGCTCTTCCAATTAACTGAGATGGGGAAGTTGGTTCCAGTTACCTCTGTCCTCATTCTTTAGGTGCAGAGCTGTTTGAAGTTCTTATCCCAGAGCTTCCCAATATTGTTACCCAAGGGAGAAAAGTGGCTACAGTAAATACAACATCCAAGCTACAGAATCACAATTAGCAATCATGACAGCATCAAGCAAAATTTAGAAATTGGCAGCGTGGTAACTGTTGATTTCACACTTGAGACCATCTGAGCGAAGCCCTAGCCATGTAACAGAACCAACTGGAAATGAGGAGTCTGCGTGGTTTTCCTCCCCTCGTCCCAGCGCATTTACGCTGGCTCCTCTGGCTGAGCCAGTCGCCCAGTCCTGGGTGCTTCACGCATGGAGGGGTGTGGGTCAGGCATTGGGCTCTTCTGGCCAAGCTGTCTTTTCTTTTTAACTGAAGCACACTTTTTTCCTCTGGTTTTATTTTTATTACTACGTTTGTGTTTCATCATGACCACATTCCATGTGGAGTTGGTGCATAAAACACCCATTTCTGCTTTCATTCCCTCTTCTTCCTCCCTTCACTTCCTTATTATGAAAAAGTTTGTCATTTTAACTGCTTTAAGTTTTCAATTCAGTACTGCTAACTACATTGACTTTTTTTGCCATTAGTAAGACCACAGGAGTGCTCTGTCACTGAATTATGTCCCCAGTCTTTTCAACAATTTTGACTCAGGATCCCATAAGTTGCAGTTCTGGTTTGTGTGCTGCTGTCCCCCAAAGCCTCATGCTGTCACTGGGGCGACTTCTAGAATTTGCAATTAGTTCATGATCCAACTGAGGGGGATTATGGGAGTGAGTGCTGCACCGCCCTGGGGCAGAGGGCCTGACACAGCCTAGGGAGGGAGAGGCCTGCTAGCTGCTGCCGCCCTCCCTCTGCTCTTGCTGCTTGCCGCCGCTGCCATGGAAGGCTGCCTGCTGCCACGTACCGCTGCGCCTTGGAGCCAGCCTTCAGTAGGAACTGAAGCCCCCACAAACTGTGAACTAAAGAAACCTTTCCTTCCTTAGCTTGGGGTGCCCTGTATTTTGTACCAGCAATGAGACTAAGACAGTTGCCCAAACAGGATTCAAAATGCAGGCTTCAAAATTGCCTCTGCCTCCCTCAGGACTGAGATTACACACATTTCTTGTCACGGTTTTGTGTGACCATCACCACCCTCTATTTCCAGATGTTCTCACTGCTACAGAAAACTCTGTAATCACTAAGCAGTACCCCCCTTCCTTTCCTCTGTAATCCACTTTTGGGCTCGAGGAACTTGCCTCCGTAGATACTCACCCTCCGGAGGCCCGTGCAGTCCTCGCCTTCCGTGTGCCTGGCTTATTTCACTCAGCATGTTTTCAAGGGTTCTCTGCTGTAGCATGTATTGGGACCTTCCTTTCTTTACGGTAGAATACTATCCTATTGTGGTCTCTGGCCCCCATTTAGCCTGCTCATCCACCACGAGGGCGCTTTGTCTGTTGTGAGTAATGCTGCTGTGGATGCTGGTCTGCAGGTATGTTTGAATCCCCAGTTCAGTTCTTGTTGGCATATACCTAGGAGGGAAGCCACTGGCGCCATATTGTCATATGGTAAGTCAGTATTCAGCTTTTTGAAAAATTGCCAAACTGTCTGCCATAGGGCTGGGGTGATAGCTGAGTGGCACAGTGCCTACCTGGCAAGAGCAAGGTCCTGAGTTTGATTACCAGTACAAAAAAAAATTGCCATAGCAGCTGCTCCTTTTACATTCCCACCATAAAAATTCCAGATGCCAATTTCCCCCACACACTTTTTATCTAATTTTTTTTGTTTGTTTTTTAGATTTACTATAGCTATCCCAGTAAGTGGGAAGTCACATCTCACTATTTGCCAACCACTAATGGTGTTGAGCATCTGCTCCTGTGCTTATTGGCCTTTGTGATCCTTTAAAGAGATGTTTTTTATTTATTTATTTTTATTTTTTAGGCGGAACTGGGGATTGAACCCAGGCCCCTGCAATTGCCAGAGAAGTGCCCACTCCCCTGAGCCATCTCTCTGGCCCCCTTAAAGAGATGTTTATTAAAAGGTTTTTACCTGTTTTAAAAATTAAGTTGTACTTTTGTTATTGAGTTATAGGAATTTGTCATGTATTTTGGGTAGCAAACCTTTATTGGATACGTGATTTACAAATATTTTCGCCTAATCAATGCTGTTTTTTCACTCTGTTGAAAATGAAAATAGTTTTTGATATGCAGAAATTCTAAACTGTAGTAAATAAAGTAGGATGTATCTGTCTTGTTGTTGTGTCTTTTTTTCCCTCTCTTTCTTTGTGAGACACAGTCTTTTGTGCAGTTCAGGCTAGCCATGAGCTCAGTTTTTTAGCCCAGCTGGTCTCAAATTTACAACAATTCTCCTGCCTCAGCCTCCCAAGTGCTGAGATTACAGGCATGCGCCACCAATCTGGATTTGTGCTTTTGATTTATATTTAAGGACCCACTTGCAAAATCCAAAGTCATGAAGATTTATATCTGTTTATTTCTCCAAGTTTCATAGTTCTACTTTTTATAGCTAGGCTGTGCATCTGTTTAACTTTTGTATGTGGTGTGAAGTAGGGTTCCAGCTCATTCTTTTGCAATCAGTTCTCCCAGAACCACCGCTGAGAGGACTATTTCCCCACTGAATGGACTCAACATCCTCACTGAAAGTCAATTGAACTGTATTGGTTTACTTCTGGAGTCTCAATTGTGCTCCATTAACCCTACGTCCATTCTTATGCCTACACTTTGATTATATTAAGTTTTGTAACTCAGCAGTATGAATCCTCCTTTCTTCTTTTTTTTTCTTTTCAAAGTTTTATTGATAAACATATAGCAATGAGACAGTTTCAAATCCTCCTTTATTTTTTAAGGTTGCATTTGAGACTCCTCATTCCATATGCACTTGAGGATTAGCCTTTTCATGGGAGGGCTGGTAGACTTGTGACAGGGCGCCAGTCCCATCTGTGGACCACAGTGCAGTGTTCTGTATTTCCAGTGAGCGAGTTTCTTCCTCCTTGCTTGCATTTACCCTAAGTCCTCTATTCTTTTGGGTGCTTTTGTAAGTATAATAATTTAGGGTTTTTTTCTGGATTACTCATTGCAAATATGCAGAAGCGTACTGATTTTTGTGTTTGATCTTGTATTCTGCAACTTTGCCGAATGTGTTTCATAGTTCTATTAGCTTTTTTCTACAGCTCATTTGGGACTTGTAAGATAGGGTCACATCATTGTGAATAAGATTCTATTTTTCCAATTTGGATGGCTAACCCCAAGAAGGGCTCTTCCAGACTCACCCATGAGCACAGGAGGCACTGGGGTAACACCTGGATGCAAGCAGTAACCGTTTTTATGCTGTCTCAAAGCTCACTAATCCTGTCTTTTTCTTCTACAATACTGAATTTACATCTCTATGTTGAGTTTAGTTTTAAGTTTTTGTGAGTTCTTGACTACAATATATGCAGTCTTTCTTGTTTTTGCATATTATAAAACAGTTGAAACAATTATTTTGTGTCCTCATATAGCTACCTCCTGTCACCTCGGTACTTTTTCTACCTAGCCTCCTGGTCCCATCGCTTCTGAAGAGAGACTGAGGTCTCACCTGTCTCCCCTCCTGGCCCGCAGAGCCTGTCTCTCAGGTTAGGGTCCTTTGTTGCCCATGTTCACTGTCCCCAGAACTGCATTTTATGTATTCTTTCCCCCCTAGCTGTGTCGGATTCTGTTGCTCTACCGTGGCTGCAGAAGTTACTCGTTCTAAAAAGAAAACTGCAGCACGTACCACTCGGAGCGGGTCCCTAGTTTAACCAGGTGTTACGGACGGACTCAGGGATGATATCCAATCAGTGCGGACGCAGAGACCGCAGCAAGGGGCATCTGGGTAGGGCAGGCGCAGGGCCAGCTGTCGCCAGTGCAGGGGACCTGGTCGTCCTCCCGCGGCCCGGCACAGCTCTCCGGGTCGCCTCCTCTGGGCCGCGGCGGGGGGACTAAGGGCACGGGCAGACACAAGCCACCGCGCTCGGCCACCGGCTTGGAAACTCGGGGCGGGGGGGGGGCCGGGACCAGGCCGTGAGGACCCGGGAGAGGCACCGATTCGCCTGAAGACCTCCAGTGCTGCAGACTCCAAAGTTTCCGGTCCTGAAGCAGAGGCAAT